CTGACCCCCCTCGATATTACTGCTTCAAGAATGAAGGACTGACCCCCCTCGACATTACTGCTTCAAGACTGAAGGACTGACCCCCTCGACATTACTGCTTCAAGACTGAAGGACTGACCCCCCTCGACATTACTGCTTCAAGACTGAAGGACTGACCCCCCTCGATATTACTGCTTCAAGAATGAAGGACTTACCCCCCTCGACATTACTGCTTCAAGACTGAAGGACTGACCCCCCTCGACATTACTGCTTCAAGACTGATTAAGTAATTTGGAAGATGAGAACTGGACACGTATAACAACTTTAAGGAAGCAACAAGAACAGTGGAAAAGGGAGGGGTGAAAGGGAAAGAGATAGAGGTGATGGACAGAGACAGTGAAAGAGGGAGGGAGGAAGGGAAGAGATAGCCCATGGGAAACCCAGATAAGCCAGCATTCTCTTACGTAAAGAGAGATCACTACCCCGTTCTCTCTCTGACGTCATAAACTGATGTGATGACATGACAAATATGCAATAAGATCACAGTAAACAGGTGATATCACAATATACAAAATAACCACTGTGAAAGAATAACGAAACTTCAATCGCTTTCGTGAGTTCTCACATTATCAAGGAACTGTGATAGTTCCTTGATAATGTGAGAAGTCACGAAAGCGTTTGTAATTTCGTTATTCTTTCACAGTGGTGTTTTGCATAATATATATATATATATATATATATATATATATATATATATATATATATATATATATATATATATATATATATATTGTGTGCGTGCGTGTGTGTGTGTGTGTGTGTGTGTGTGTGTGTGTGTGTGTGTGTGTGTGTGTGTGTGTGTGTGTGTGTACGTACTCACCTATTTGTACTCACCTATTTGTGGTTGCAGGGGTCGATTCATAGCTCCTGGCCCCGCCTCTTCGCTGATTGCTACTAGGTCCTCTCTCTCCCTGCCCCATGAGCTTTATCATACCTCGCCTTGAAACTATGTATGGTTCCCGCCTCCACTACGTCACTTTCTAGGCTATTCCACGGTCTGACTACTCTATGACTGAAGTAATACTTCCTAACATCCCTCTGATTCATCTGAGTCTTCAACTTCCAATTGTGACCTCTTGTGTGTGTGTGTGTGTGTGTGTGTGTGTGTGTGTGTGTGTGTGTGTGTGTGTGTGTGTGTGTGTGTGTGTGTGTGTGTGTGTGTACGTACACACCTAAATGTACTTATCTAATTGTGGTTGCAGGGGGGGGTCGAGACTCAGCTCATGGCCCCCACCTCTTCATTGATCGCTACTAGGTCCCCCTCTCTCTCTTGGCTCCCTGAGTTTTATCATGCCTCGTCTTAAAGCTATGTATGGTTCCTGCCTCCACTACATCACTTGCTAGACTATTCCACTTCCTGACAACTCTTTGACTGAAGAAATACTTCCTAACGTCCCTGTGACTCGTCTGAGTCTTCAGCTGCCAATTGTGACCCCTTGTTTGTATGTCCCCTCTCTGGAACATACTATTGCTGTCCACCTTATCTATTCCAAGCACTATTTTGCATGTCGTGATCACGTCTCCCCTGACACTCCTGTCCTCCAGTGTCGTCAGGCCGGTTTCCCTCAACCTTTCTTCGTAGGGCATTCCCCTTAGCAAACATTTGCACTTTCTCTAATTTCTTGACGTGCTTGACCAGGTGTGGGTTCAAAACTGGTGCTGCATACTCCAGTATGGGCCTGGCGTACACGGTGTACAGTGTCTTGAACGATTCCTTACTGAGGTATCGGATAGCTATTCTCAGGTTTGCCAGGCGCCCATATGCTGCAGCAGTTATCTGGTTGATGTGTGCTTCCGGAGATGTGCTCGGTGTTATGGTCACCCCAAGATCTTTCTCCTTAAGTGAGGTTTGCAGTCTTTGGCCGCCTAGCCTATACTCTGTCTGCGGTCTTCTTTGCCCTTCCCCAATCTTCATGACTTTGCATTTGGCAGGGGTGAATTCGAGAAGCCAGTTACTGGACCAAGTGTCCAGCCTGTCCAGGTCTCTTTGTAGTCCTGTCTGATCCTCATCTCATTTAATTCTCCTCATTTGTCATATGGGGGTTCGATACGTGGATTGGGTAAGAACACTCACGTAGGCTGGTTAGTACGTATAATTATAACGGAAAGTATGGGAAGAAGCCGTGCCGCCCTGCCTCTCTGCTCTCTATCTTAAGACTGCCCCACCAGTGAAGTCTAGGGGGTGAGCGGCGTTCAAAAACATGCTATGGTCAGCAGCAACGTGAATAACAGTCAGTGATTCACACAGACGGTTGGTAGTGAGTCATACTACTGGTAACTGGTTACTGGTACTACCTGGAGTTTACCTGGAGAGAGTTCCGGGGGTCAACGCCCCCGCGGCCCGGTCTGACCAGGCTTCCTGGTGGATCAGAGCCTGATCAACCAGGTTGTTGCTGCTGGCTGCACGCAAACCAACGTACGAGCCACAGCCCGGCTGGTCAGGAACCGACTTTAGGTGCTTGTCCAGTGCCAGCTTGAAGACTGCCAGGGGTCTACTGAGACATTAACTTCACATCTGCGAACAGGGACACTTCTGAGTCTATCCCTTCCATCATGTTATTCTCATATACCAAAAATAGCACTGGTCCTAGGACCGACCCCTGTGGAACCCCGCTCGTCACGTACGCGTGTGTGTGTGTGTGTGTGTGTGTGTGTGTGTGTGTGTGTGTGTGTGTGTGTACACAAGTGCATGTTGGGAACTTCCCAGCAGAATAACGTACCACTTCATTATCTTCCCTTCTGCCTCTCTCTCATCCCCCTCTCCCCCCCTCTCTCTCTCCCTCTCTCTCTCCCTCTCTCTCTCTTACTAAAATGTCAAATGTGTTGCTTTTCCACAACTGTTCCTTTGTGTGTGTGTGTGAGCGCAGTACAACTACCTTCCCAGACCAGCAACGACCTTCCCAGACCAGCAACGACCTTCCCAGACCAGCAACGACCTTCCCAGACCAGCAAGACCTTCCCAGGCCAGCAAGACCTTCCCAGACCAGCAACGACCTTCCCAGACCAGCAACGACCTTCCCAGACCAGCAAGACCTTCCCAGGCCAGCAAGACCTTCCCAGACCAACAAGACCTTCACAGACCAACAAGACCTTCACAGACCAACAAGACCTTCACAGACCAGCAAGACCTTCCCAGACCAACAAGACCTTCCCAGACCAACAAGACCTTCCCAGACCAGCAAGACCTTCCCAGACCAGCAACGACCTTCACAGACCAACAAGACCTTCCCAGACCGGCAAGACCTTCACAGACCAGCAAGACCTTCACAGACCAGCAAGACTTTCCCAGGCCAGCAAGACCTTCCCAGACCAACAAGACCTTCCCAGACCAACAAGACCTTCCCAGACCAACAACGACCTTCACAGACCAAACAACGACCTTCCCAAAGCAAACAACCTTTCCAGCCAGCAACGACCTTCCCAGCCAGCAAACGACCTTTGTCTGGCCGGCAATGGTCCTTTAAAGCTGCCTTGCTCGTCGTTTGCGTGCACCTGCACCAGGATCATTGATCGCTAACCACCACCACCACCACTACTACTGCCACCATCTTCGGGGAGGGCAGTGGTGGTAGCAGGGAGGCTACCCCACACATGGGTAGACAAAATAGGCACTTATTCTCTGGGGCACTGAAAAGTGCCTCGTTAATGACCCACAGGAAGCCGAGTCTAGCACCTCCTTGGCACTGTGCCCAACACTACAAGTGCTACTGTAACAAGTGGTAGTAGTGGTGGTGGTAGTATTAGTAGTAACAGTAGCAATAATAGAAGCAGTAGCAGCAACTGTACCCACATCAACAACAGCACTAGCAGCAACAACAGCAGCTGCAGCAATAGCAGCAGCAACAGCAGCAGCAACAGCAGCAACTACCAGCATCAACACCACCAGCAGTAGCAGCAACAGCAGCAGTAGCAGCAGCAACAACAGCAGTAGCAGCATCAACAGTAGTAGCAGCATCAACAGTAGTAGCAGCATCAACAGTAGTAGCAGCATCAACAGTAGTAGCAGCATCAACAGTAGTAGCAGCATCAACAGTAGTAGCAGCATCAACAGTAACAACAGAGAGAGACGTCAGGAAGACAGAATGACCAGACAGGAAGTTACAATGTCTGATGTGGCTGTAGGAAGAGTAGGAGCAGTGACAGTCTCTGGAGGTCATGGTGGTACTGTGAGGAGGAAGAGGAAGAAAATGAAGAGGGAAGGAAGAGACGAAGGCAAGGGAAAGAGAAGAGGAAGTGAATAGGTGTTTCTTCATCTAGACTCAGGTAGCACTGCTAATATTTTCTTACGTAAGATGATAGGTAAATCTTTCTGTCTCATCAATAACTAGGATAACAGGTAAATCTTACTGTTTCAAGAACAACAGGTAAATCATACACGTTCTACTTACACTCAGTGAACACCTAAATTCACTTCCCTATGTGCTTCTCAATAGTTTTAAGCCTAGATTTGCCTTCCACCCTAGCAGGCCTGGTCAAAGACCGGGCAATGGGGAGGATAAATCCCCAGCACCCCTAGCAAACAGCACGAATAATTTAGAAGGGCAAGAAATGAACGAGGGGCAAGACAAGAGATTTGTAAACAACAGGAATGATTTAGAAGGGCAAGAAAGGTAGGTGAGAAGAAAAACATGAGAATAAACAAGGCTGATTTAATATAAACAAGTTTTTACCTAAAATTCCCGTGAAGTAATCATCCCAGCATCTAACTCGCCATTGAGAACGTTGACTCTTGATCCGTGTGGAGACTCAAGGTGCTTAGCTGACCCCCATCACACTTTCCCTACACTTGGAGGACATGAACACGTCCGTAACGTCACACATCCAGACCACAGACCAGCCCACTTCCCTACAACTGGAGGACATAAAACGAATATATCCGCAACGACATATATCCTGAACACAAACCGGCCCACATTCTAGAACGGGAGATCCAGGAGGTTCTCGACAGAGCCAGCAGTCACCCAACATAGAATACCTCAGTGCATTGAAGAATACCCAGGAATACTTAGCACAAACAGCCACTGGGAACACTCACCATCATAGTTGGTGAGGTCTGCAGCTAGGAGACCGGCGGTGTGTGCTGGGGCGTAGGAGAGCCTAGCATTGATGACCTCGGCTACTGTGACGGGTCTGGTGAGTTGGGTGACCATGAGGGCGTCACCCTGACCACACGCCAGGTGAAGGGGCGTGTTGCCTCGACGATCCCTGCTCACGGGAGATGCACCACACACTACCAGGTGCCTTGCCACGCCCGCGTCACCAGCGCCCACCGCCAGGTGCAGCGCCGTCTGTGTAAAACAACAATAATTATAAACAGTGACGTTCACTTGTACAGATTATTCATTTGGGATGTGCTAAGGAGGTTTATCTAAAGCTTTGTGTAGGATTAAAGCTCATCTGAAGCTTCGTTCAGTGAATTGCTTGTGGAAAGTCACTGCTTATAGTCAAGCAGTGACAGTGGTACTGGGAGCAGCAAGAGTGAACGTCCTAAACCACACCTGGCTAATAAGGGGGAGGGGAGGTTTGAAACCTATCTACTACACGAGGGTCATTAAGGCTGCATGTTACCTCTTCACCGCCAGTCAAGAACACTTTAATATCTTAAATAGTGATTAATGTAAATTACCAGTGTACATATATTGTGAGATACACACCTGTGTGTTGTATCCTTAGCTCACAAAGTCTTAACAGTGAGTAATATGTATACTCTCTCTCTCTCTTCTCTCTCTCTTCTCTCTCTCTCTCTCTTCTCTCTCTCTCTCTCTACTGGGAGGTTACTGAAATGATAATGGAGATTTCAACTATAACACACACACACACACACACACACACAGGAGAGACAGGGAGGACATGATAACGACATACAAAATACTGAGAGGAATTGACAAGGTGGACAAAGACAGGATGTTCCAGAGATTGGACACAGTAACAAGGGGACACAGTTGGAAGTTGAAGACACAGATGAATCACAGGGATGTTAGGAAGTATTTCTTCAGCCACATAGTCAGGAAGTGGAATAGTTTGGGAAGCGATGTAGTGGAGGCAGGATCCATACATAGCTTTAAGCAGAGGTATGATAAAGCTCACGGTTCAGGGAGAGTGACCTAGTAGCGACCAGTGAAGAGGCGGGGCCAGGAGCTCGGACTCGACCCCTGCAACCTCAACTGAGTACACCACACACACACACACACACACACACACACACACACAACTGAGGAGGAGGTGAAGAAGCTCTTAAGTGACCTTGACACCTCAAAGGCGATGGGACCGGACAACATCTCCCCATGAGTCCTTAGAGAAGGAGCAGAGATGCTGTGCGTGCCTCTAACCACAATCTTCAACACATCCCTTGAAACTGGGCAACTACCTGAGAAATGGAAGACAGCTAATGTAGTCCCCATATTTAAGGAAACAGAAATGAGGCACTAAACTACAGACCTGTGTCTCTGACATGTATTGTGTGCAAAGTCATGGAGAAGATTATCAGGAGGAGAGTGGTCGAACACCTGGAAAGGAACAAGATTATAAATGAAAACCAGCATGGGTTCATGGAAGGCAAATCTTGTATCACAAACCTCCTGGAGTTTTATGACAAGGTAACAGAAGTAAGACACGAGAGAGAGGGGTGGGTAGATTGCGTTTTCCTAGACTGCAGGAAGGCCTTTGACACAGTTCCCCACAAGAGATTAGTGCAGAAGCTGGAGGATCAGGCGCATGTAAAAGGGAGGGCACTGCAATGGATAAGGGAATACCTGACAGGGAGGCAGCAACGAGTCATGGTACGTGAAGAGGTATCACAGTGGGCGCCTGTTACGAGCGGGGTCCCACAGGGTCAGTTCTAGGACCAGTGCTATTTTTGATATATGTAAACGACATGATGGAAGGAATAGACTCTGAAGTGTCCCTGGTCGCAGATGACGTGAAGTTGATGAGAAGAATTAAATCGGACGAGGATGAGGCAGGACTGCAAAGAGACCTGGACAGGCTGGACATGTGGTCCAGTAACTGGCTTCTCAAATTCAATCCAGCCAAATGCAAAGTCATGAAGATTGGGGAGGGGCAAATAAGACCGCAGACAGAGTATAGGCTAGGTGGACAAAGACTACAGACCTCACTCAGGGGGAAAGACCTTGGGGTGACCATAACACCGAGCACATCACCGGAGGCACACATCAACCAAATAACCGCTGCAGCATATGGGCGCCTGGCAAACCTGAGAATAGCGTTCCGATACCTTAATAAGGAATCGTTCAAGACACTGTACACTGTGTATGTTAGGCCCATACTGGAGTATGCAGCACCAGTCTGGAACCCACACCTGGTCAAGCACGTCAAGAAGTTAGAGAAAGTACAAAGGTTTGCAACAAGGCTAGTCCCAGAGCTCAAGGAATGTCGTACGAGGAAAGGTTAATTAAGGGAAATCGGACTGACGACACTGGAGGACAGAAGGGTCAGGGGAGACATGATAACGACACACAAGATACTGCGGGGAATAGACAAGGTGGACAGAGATAGGATGTTCCAGAGAGGGGACACAGGGACAAGGGGTCACAACTGGAAGTTGAAGACTCAGACGAGTCACAGGGACGTTAGGAAGTATTTCTTCAGTCATAGAGTCGTCAGCAAGTGGAATAGCCTAGCAAGTGTAGTGGAGGCAGGAGCCATACATAGTTTTAAGAAGAGGTATGACAAAGCTCAGGAAGCAGAGAGAGAGAGGACCCAGTAGCGATCAGTGAAGAGGCGGGGCCAGGAGCTGAGTCTCGACCCCTGCAACCACAATTAGGTGAGTACAATTAGGTGAGTACACACACACACACATTTTCCCAGTGGGGACTTTCCAGACACTGAAAACCCCACAAGGAAAGACCAGTGGTTTTGAAAGGTAGTGAAAACCCCCGGAGGGAGAGTCCTCCCTGAGTGAGCCAGGAAGACTTAGAGAAAATTAATACACAAGGGTAAATCCAGGGTTCTCTCTCTCTCTCTCTCTCTCTCTCTCTCTCTCTCTCCTCTCTCTCTCTCTCTCTCTCTCTATACTTTTACAGCTATAACTACAACTACCACACCTACAACTACTACCATCAAAACTATTACCACCACTATACTACTACCACAACTACTACACCACCAATATTACTACTGCGACCACTATAACTACTACTACTACCACTATAACTACTACCACCACTACAACAACTACCACCACCACTACAGCTACTATCACCACTAAACTACTACTACCACCACTAACTACTACTACACCACAACTACTATTTACACAACTACATACTACAACACACTACAACTACTACACCACCACTAAAACTACTACCATCACTACAACTACTGACTACCACCACTACAACTACTACTACCACCACACTACAACTACCAAACTACAACTACTAACACACCACTACAACTACAACTACTACACCACCACTAAAACTACTACCATCACTAAACTACCACCACACTACAACTACTACTACTCACCAACTACTACTACCACCACTACAACTACTACTACCACCACTACAACTACTACTACCACATCACTACAAACTACTACTACCACACACTACACAACTACCAACTACACACTACACACTACAATACTACACACCACTAAACTACAATACTACTACACTACAACACAACTACACACCACTACAACTACACTACTACCACTACAACACTACTACCACCACTACAACTACTACCACCTAACTACACTATACAAACTCCCTACCACACTACACTCACCAACTACAATACAACTACTACCACAACTACAACTATACCACTACAACTACAACTACTACCACACTACAACTACAACTACCACAACTACTACCACCACTACAACTACTACCACCACTACAACTACTACTACTACCTCCACTACAACTACTACCATCACTACAACTACTACTACTACCACCACTACAACTACTACTACCACCACTACAACTACTACTACCACCACTACAACTATACAACTACACCACTACAACTACCACCACTACAACTACCACCACTACAACTACTACCACAACTACAACTACTAGCACCACCACTACAACTAAACATGCTGAGGGCCTGCACGACCTGAGAAAGGTATTCCCTGTATCCCATAAGCCCAGCCGCCTCTACCTTTAAGGTTTGAAGCCGATCCAAAGAGCCATTCACAACTTATCACTTGGAAACTAATATCCAAAATTTTATTTTCCACTGAGTAAGGTAGACCAGCCTTCAAAGTTTGAAGCCTATCAAAAGTTGCATTCTCTAATTCACTCCCAGAGGAGACCAATATCTCAAAAGACAGAAGCACCAGGTTTGAAGTCGCTCGGAGGCTGCATTCCCAAGTTACTAGCACTGAAGGTTTCAAGGCAGTCGGTTGAAACATTACCATTCCTAGTAGCAGTAGTAGTAACAGTAATAATAGCAGCAGCAGCAGCTGTAGTAGTAGTAGTTGTAGCAGCCGTAGCAGTAGTACTAGTAGTAATACTACTACTACAACAACTACTACTACTACCACCACCACCACCCACCACCGGCTACTACCTTCTCGACAATGACCCGCAAACACCTACCCCTCCTCACACCCCCACCCTCACTGCTCGCTAGGTGGGAACAAGAGAACATCGCCTGCAGCTAGATGACGGAGCATATGATTGCAATATTACTCTGCAACCATCCTCACACACACGTGACTCTCTCTACCAAATGTGCATATATGCTTAGAGGGTATGTACACCAAGATGTGTATGTACACCTACAGCTGCGTGTATATACACAGAGGTGTGCATGTGCACCGAGGTCTTGTATATACACTGAGAGAAGCGTATATATATACACGAGAGGTGTGTTTATGCACTTAGAGGAACACCAGCAGTGTGTTGCTACACTATTCTGTTTGATAGTTACATTGTGGGAACACCAGCAGTGTGTTGCTACACTATTCTGTATGATAGTTACATTGTGGGAACACCAGCAGTGTGTTGCTACACTATTCTGTATGATAGTTACATTGCGGGAACACCAGCAGTGTGTTGCTACACTATTCTGTATGATAGTTACATTGTGGGAACACCAGCAGTGTGTTGCTACACTATTCTGTATGATAGTTACATTGTGGGAACACCAGCAGTGTGTTGCTACACTATTCTGTATGATAGTTACATTGTGGGAACACCAGCAGTGTGTTGCTACACTATTCTGTATGATAGTTACATTGCGGGAACACCAGCAGTGTGTTGCTACACTATTCTGTATGATAGTTACATTGTGGGAACACCAGCAGTGTGTTGCTACACTATTCTGCATGATAGTTACATTGTGGGAACACCAGTAGTGTGTTGCTACACTATTCTGTATGATAGTTACAGTGTGGGAACACCAGTAGTGTGTTGCTACACTATTCTGCATGATAGTTACATTGTGGGAACACCAGCAGTGTGTTGCTACACTATTCTGTATGATAGTTACATTGTGGGAACACCAGCAGTGTGTTGCTACACTATTCTGTATGATAGTTACAGTGTGGGAACACCAGTAGTGTGTTGCTACACTATTCTGTATGATAGTTACATTGTGGGAACACCAGCAGTGTGCTGTTACACTGTTCTGTATGATAGTTACATTGTGGGAACACCAGCAGTGTGTTGCTACACTATTCTGTATGATAGTTACATTGTGGGAACACCAGCAGTGTGTTGCTACACTATTCTGTATGATAGTTACATTGTGGGAACACCAGCAGTGTGTTGCTACACTATTCTGCATGATAGTTACATTGTGGGAACACCAGTAGTGTGTTGCTACACTATTCTGTATGATAGTTACATTGTGGGAACACCAGCAGTGTGTTGCTACACTATTCTGCATGATAGTTACATTGTGGGAATACCAGTAGTGTGTTGCTACACTATTCTGTATGATAGTTACATTGTGGGAACACCAGTAGTGTGTTGCTACACTATTCTGTTTGATAGTTACATTGTGGGAACACCAGCAGTGTGTTACTACACTATTCTGTATGATAGTTACATTGTAGGAACAACAGTAGCGTGTTGCTACACTATTCTGCATGATAGTTACATTGTGGGAACACCAGTAGTGTGTTGCTACACTATTCTGTATGATAGTTACATTGTGGGAACACCAGTAGTGTGTTGCTACACTATTCTGTATGATAGTTACATTGTGGGAACACCAGTAGTGTGTTGCTACACTATTCTGTATGATAGTTACATTGTGGGAACACCAGTAGTGTGTTGCTACACTATTCTGTATGATAGTTACATTGTGGGAACACCAGTAGTGTGTTGCTACACTATTCTGTATGATAGTTACATTGTGGGAACACCAGCAGTGTTGCTACACAAATTTATATGATGGTTACACTGTTGGAACACCAGTAGTGTGGCTGCACTATTTTGTATGATAGTTACATTGTGGGAACACCAGCAGTGTGTTGCTACACTATACTGTATGATAGTTACATTGTGGAACACCAGAAGTGTGGCTGCACTATTCTATATGATAGTTACATTGTGGGAACACCAGCAGTGTTGCTACACTACCTACAAAGAGAACAAAAGAACAATAAGAACGCCTGGTATACCTGCCCTGAACAGAATAAGAACACAGGGATATACCTACCTTGAAGAACACAAAATAACAATAAGAACGCAAGGTAGACTTACCCTGCCAGTGTGGTTGGCCAGGTCGAGGAAAGCCTGGTGTGGTAGAAGTCTGGTAATGTGATAGATCACTTCGATGAACCCTCGCATTACCGCCACGTGCAACTGGCTGTGGAGAACACGAGAAGAACACGTCAGAACACGCAAACTTTGTCATAACACAATAAAACACAGTCAGAAATCGCAAGAACGCCTCAGAACACAAGATCTTAAGGCTAGAACGCAGAGAAACGTGGAAGAACACACACGAACACGTCAGAAGACGGAAATTTACCAGAACACAAGAACTTAACGTCAGAACAAGATAAAACGTGCCATAGCACAAGAAATTAACCTCATAACAAAATAAAACACGTCAGAAATCACAAACACAAGAATATAACGACAGAACACAATGGAACATGGAAAAACACAACGTTTGAACACGAAACTTGGAGCACACCAGATCACAAGAACACAAATCGTCTCAATGTGGTGATATCTCTCACGTCACACAAACCCGACACAGAATGAGATACGCACATCAGGCAATGCGTGTCCCTCCCCGGAGGAATGCGATGAGATAGAGGAATGGCAGTGGAATGAGAGAGAAGGGAGTAAATAGATGGAGTAAGGATGCGAATGGTGGGGTAGGTTATAGATGAGGTGGAGAGAGGGAGGCTGGGTAGGTGAGGGAGGGAAGCTGGGCAGGGCTAGGAGAGGGAGGGAAGGTGAGAGAGGGAGGACTGGAGAAGCAGGGCAGGGGGAGGGCATCCGGGCAGGGTGGATGGCATCAGGGCTGGGGGGATGGCATAATGGCAGGGGGAGGGCATCAGGGCAGGTTAGAGAGAGATAGGAAGGGAAGGGGTAGGGGTCAGGGTAGGAGGGCACGTCTGGCAACACTGGACAAAAAACAATCAATGAATGAATTTCTCCCCCGCGTAGCGTCGCACGACGGTCCTGTCATGTCATGCGAGGAAGAGGAGTCGTCTCCATCGTCGTACGACCATCCTGTGGGTTAGGGAGTGCCCTGAAGGGAACACCAGGGTGTGGGCTGGAGGCGACCTGCACCTCTGCAGGAAACAATGCAGCAGGCAACCTGCTGCCCTGGAAACCCCTTACCGAAGTGTTCCTTGCAGAGTTGCCACACTGACACCCTCTCTCTCTCTCTCTCTCTCCTCTCTCCTCTCCTCTCTCTCTCTCTCTCTTTTACACAGGGTTTGACAAGGTTAAGGATTCCTAGCTTTATTGACAAGCTATTTACAGGTTAAGGATTCCTAACTTTATTGGCAAGCTAAGAGCTGTTACCTACATCAGCTCATTTGAAAGCATTTTTATTGTTATGAGACATACAAGTACGGAACAGGATGAAGTTGGAGCCATCTGTGGGCCAGCATTTTCATTTGATCAACTGACTTTATCTCGTTGACATCATTATACTGTACGAATGTGTTCCATACTCGAGTCATCCTGGGTATATATGATCTCAGATGGAGTGATGTTCTGGAGAAGGGTACAGCCAGAGTGAAGTTGCTGCTTTCTGCCCGTCTTGTGGCATAAAAGCTTGTTTCACGCTGTCCTCGAAGTGGATCCAAGTGTGGTACTTTGACAATATTGGCCTTGTACATAACAGTAAGGCCACCCACATCCCTCCTATGTTGAAGGCTCTGCTGAAATGACAGATCTATCCAGGATGGGTCCAGGCGAGAGATGAGACGTCTTGCTCTGCTCTCCCCCTTACTACTGCACCAGCATTACCATCTCTCTCTCTCTGTTTCAGTACCAGTAATTCTCTAGAGGCAGTGAGAGACAGGAACTTACCAAGTTCCCTCTAGACTCAACTTCCTCTTACAAGAAACTTGTCAAGTTTCCTTTAAATGGAACTTTGGATGGGGGAGTCTGTTGATAAGTCCCCTTATATCAGCGTCGGGTGCTGAAGAGTCCTGGATCCACTAAGCTGACTGATCCCTGAGCGTGCTTATTGCACAAGTAACCCGGCTTTTCACTGAGTGTATGTTGCACAGACTGTCGTGTCTCCTGCACTCTCTACCTGCTTATTACAACTTGACGGAAATATGTAAAGTAAAAGGACACAAGTGCAACTAATGTGACATTTATTAGTTGCACTTGTGTCCTTTTACTTTACATATTGTCGGTAATTCTACCAACTTTATTACAACTTGACGGAAAGTAACAGTGGTAACCGTTGATACCTTTTGCCTTGCCTCAAGGAATTTCCCCCCTATTTGTTGCTGTGTTGCAACACTGCATAGCTCCTGAAGACGCACCAGAGTGCGAAAGATCTTGAGCTGAAGATTTCCATCCCCTAAACTATGTCTTCAATAGTGATGGACTGATTACATCGTCTACACATCGCTACTTCTCCTGCCAACTTTTCTGTACTCGACTGAAGAAGCCTACTGTGTAGGCGAAACGTTTCGGAATAAAGATACCTAACTGTTGGACATGTGTTTTACTTATCAACCTGTCGGTATAATATACCTTTTTAATATTCAGTATCCTCTTTGGTGAGAGTACCATGCCTGAGCACTGTGCCTTGAGTACTGTGCCTTGAGTACTGTGCCTCGAGTACTCTGCCTTGAGTATCGTGCCTTGCAAAGCAGCCTTTTCCTGGTAAAGTTACAGAAGTAACTTAAGAACATTAAGGAGCACTGCAGCAGGCCTACTGGCCCATGCTAGGCAGGTCCAAGTCACCTACATAAGAACATAAGGAAAAAGGAACACTGCAGCAGGCCTACTGGCCCATGCTAGGCAGGTCCAAGTCACGTACATAAGAACATAAGGAAAAAGGAACACTGCAGCAAATCCAAGTCTCCTACCTACTTAAGCCAATGACCCAACCTAGTCAGGTCAGGTCACATTCACTTAAGGAAGGAGCACAGCATAAGACCTAGTAGCACAAGCTAATCAGGTCCAACTCACACCCACTCATGTATTTATCTAACCTATTTTTAAAACTACACAACGTTTTAGCTTCTATGAGTGATGACTTGTACTTAGCCAGTGGTGACCTGTACTTAGCTCTGTGAGGACGTGTCTAGTGTACTGTCTGTGAATCTGAACCAAGATGTCCTCCACTGAACAACTTTACCAGCAGCTTAAAGAGGAGCTTAGGGTAGCTAAGCTTGAGATACGGCAATTGACAGAGGAAAACAAGAGGATTCTTAGTAACCCTCCTGTTGTGAGTCCTCAGGTCAAGAGGGTAACCTGGTCAGTGGCCAGGCAACATGGAACTAAGCTGAAGATCAAGAAGACTGATGAAGTGGCAGAAACAACGAAGATCCAGAAGACTACTGTGGAAACTTTGAACCTATTCTCAGTGCTACCCGACGAATGTGGGTTGTCTACTGGAACGTCACAACGAGCACCAAGGAAGCATTGGCAGACGAGGGTGAGACAATATCTCTTGAAACCCCAATGAAGACCATTCCAATGAAGTCCATCCCAACGAACACCATCGAGAAAAGTCACGACGAACTCGGCCAGTGAAGGTAAGAACATTGTTATAGTTTGAGGACAGTCAGGTTAAATTTATGGATAGGGCTTTTTGTCTTAGAGATAGGAAGAGGAGGCAGAGGATATGTTTTCCTGGGGCTGGGATGGGGGATATTGTTAGCCTTCTAGACGATATCATGAAAGGTAATGGGAACAATCTTATTATCTGCCTCAGTGCAGGAGGAAATGAGGTTGGCAGATGTACAAGTAAAGACCTGATTAGCAGGTATAGGACAGCAGCAGAGATAATTAGGAAGAAGGGTGGGAACCTTGTGATATGTGGTATTTTGCCCAGGAGAGGAGTTGGAAATGAATGGTTGTCCAGGTCAATTGGTGTCAAATGCTGGCTGGACAAATACTGTAAGGAAAATGTGGAACATTCATAGACAACTGGGACCTCTTCTATGGCAGAAATGACATGTATGCCAGGGATGGGGCTCACTTATCTAGGTTTGGGGTGGGAGCACTGGCTAACGCAGTGGAGGGAGCTCTTAGGTCTCTTAAACTAGAAATAGATAGTGGTATGGGTTTCTGTGGAAAATCAATGAATTCTCAGTGTAGCGATAGTGTGAGTTTTAGGGAAACCAGTTATAGGCAGAATGAGGTAGAGTTATTGGTGAATAATGGAAAGCCTGTGGCACTACGTGACAAGGACAGTAACAGGTATATTGGAGGAACAGAAATCAGCAGGAAGAGAAAAAAAGAGGTTTACTAAACATATACTAATAGTCGTAGTGCAAGAAATAAGACAGATAAATTGAGATTAGTTGCAAGTGCGGGTAACACTGTTTTTGCCATAACTGAGACGTGGTTTAATATGAAAAATCGGGACATGCCTGCTGAATGTTACATTCAGGGTTTTAAATTGTTCCAAGTAGACAGAAGTATTGGGATGGGGGGTGGGGTGGCACTGTATGTCCGAGATCGTTTAAACTGGTGCATAAAAAATGGGTATAAAGTCTGCAACACATACTGAGTCAGTTTGGGTAGAATTTCCAGAGGGGCACGAAAAATTGATTTTAGGCGTGATATACCGTCCCCCAAACTTGGATAGAGACCGAGGAAGACTACTGTGGGAGGAAACTGTTAGGGCCACAAGGCACGATAACGTCGTAATTCTAGGGGACTTTAATTTTAGCCATATTGATTGGAATTCCATGACTGGGAATTTAGAATCTAACGACTTCTTAGAGGTAGTTCAAGATTGTTTTTTGAAGCAGTTTGTGACAGAACCTACAAGGGGAAATAACCTGCTTGACTTGGTTCTGGCAAACAAGGAAACCCTTGAAAGTTAACTTTCATATTGTCGGTATTTTATACCTTTCTTTGCACAAGGAAACCCTTGTTAATAATTTAGAAATTTCAGAGGAACTTGGTGCAAGTGAACTCAGATCAATTACATTTAGTCAATGAATGAAAGTATGGTAGTAGGGATAACTCAGTAACAGTCCCAGCTTTTCACTTAGCAGATTGCAATGGGCTTAGAGAACAACTATCAACTGTGGACTGGGGTAAGAAAGAGAGCTATCAATATGAGAGCTTTCTAAACACTATACATGCTGCCCAAAGTACATTTATTCTGTATAGGGAAATTAGATCGAATATAAATGACCC